AAAGGCCAACGAAGTAGGCGTTGGTTGGAGAAGTGGGCTTGTTGCAGGAACCGAAGAGGATTATGATGAGAGTAGATGGTGATGGGTTGGTGTCCTTGAAGATAGGGTTCACAATGTTGTAAGCACAGTATGATGACGAGTAGCTCCTTCTCAACTGTACTATAATTACGCTGGTGAGGTTTCAGCTTATAGCTGTAGTAGCTGACTGGCACGACTTCTCCCTCTCGCTGTTGCATCAGGACGCCCCCAAATGCAGGTGCTGCTGGCATCGACATTAAAGATGAAGGATGAAGGGTCTCTTCACTTTTGGCGAGACGAGTACTGAGTAAAGTTTTTAGCTGTTCAAAAGCAATGGTTTGTGAGGTGGTCCATATATAATTTTTCTTAGTAATTAGTATTGATGGTAAGGTTGATGAGAGTTGTGGCCACGGTACTGAAGTTTCGGCAAAAGCGACGATAATAAGATGCTAGGCCTAGGAAATGCATAAGTTGTTTACGTGAAGTAGGCTGAGGATATTGTTGGATAGCTTGCAGATAAACGTCAAGAGGTGCTATGCTTTTACTGCCTATGATATGACCAAGATAGCGCATTGTACCTTTGGCAAACGTGGACGTGCCCAAATTAATGGTGAGGCTGCCTGGAGAAGCTGTAGAACAAACGTTGTAGCTGGTGTAGATGTTCTTCCCAGGCGTTGTTTCCTACAAAGATGTCATCCAAGTAACCGTAGGTATCGTCAAGGTGTTGGATGACGATGTTGACAGCTCGCTGGAAGGTAGCTGGGGCATTGCGGAGTCAAAAAGGCAGTCGCTCATATCTAAAGAGGCCAAAACGAGTGGTAAAAGCAGAGATGTCCTTTGCATACTCTGTAAGACTGATCTGGTAATAGCCATTTATGAGGTCTATTTAAGACAAGAATTTGGCGTTACCGATAACATCTAGGATGTCGTCGATGCGAGGCATGGGGGGTAGGAATCTTTCACTGTGACTGAGCTCAAATTACGGTAATATGGGCACAGTCTTACCCCTGCCATGTGGCTTGGGCACCAATATACAAGGTGAGGCCCAAAGAGATTCACAAGGTGTGTCCAATCCATTGCTGAGGAGGTACTGTACTTCGGCGAACATGGCTTCCCTCTTCTGCGAACTGATGCGGTAGTACGGTTGACGGTTGGGCACCGTTTCGGGAAGTAGCTTGATGTCGTGGTGCACTAAAGTACATTCCTCAGGAGCGTCGTCTAACAAGTCTCTATGAGTAGAGAATAGTTGGATGACAGGAGCACTGTTATTAGAATGCTGTAAGTACTTAGGAAAATCGTTCATAATTTTACAGTAAGTTATCGCAGTCAGGAGAAGCAGGGTATGTATCACTGTGGGTATATGTATCCGTAAAAGTGGATGCAACCAAACTCTAGGAATAGTCAAACGAACCTCTGACTTCAAGGAAAATAAAGAAGTAGTGCAACTGAATATATCTCCGGTGGCTGAGCGGACATAACACTGGACGCGTGATCTCCTCCGGTGATCAAAAAAACTCCGGTGACTGAGCAGACGGTGAAGCCGGTGGCTTAGCGGACAGACAACTGGACGCGTGATCCTTTGGTCCCGGGTTCGATCCCGGGCGCCGGCGAGAAACAATGGGCAGTTTCTTTCACCCTGATACGCCTGTTACCTAGCAGTAAATACCTGGGAGTTAGTTAGCTGTCACGGGCTGCTTCCTGGGGGTGGAGGCCTGGTCGAGGACCGGGCCGCAGGGACAATAAGTCCCGAAATGATCTCAAGATAACCTATCTCTGGTGTACCCTACTAGAATTATAGTTTCCAAGCATGGAGACCTCATCTTCAGAAAGACTTATTTGCTTTGGAGAAAGTTCAACACCAGGCGACAAAAATCAGTCCAGAACTATGACGACTCTCATTCCAAGGAACGGTTAAGAGCCCCATAGCTAACAACACTGCAAACCAGACATGCCAGGGCTGATCTCATCAAAGCCTTTAAAATACTGATAAACCTCTAAAATACTGATAAACTTAGAGGATATTGGTCCAGAGAAATTCTTTAGAAGGTCAGATATAACACAAACAAAAAGCAATGTTTTCAGCCTCGATGAACCACAATGTAGGATAGAAAACAGGAGATGATTTTTCACCCACAGGGTTATAAACCTAGGGAACCGCCTACCTACCAAAGCTGTTAATGACAAAACACTGCTGAATTTCAAAATGCAGCTCGATAAAATAGACAGAACAAATGGGGAGACATTTGAAAAGTCGCCGGCTTCCTGTCCTCGTCGAGGCCACTGTAGAGATATAGTGGCCCTCAGGTAAATTGAGAAAAAAACTAAAGGTTTCTCTACGAAAATATTTTAAGCCAGTGACAAGTAATATCATTAAAAAATAATAATAATAATAATAATAATAATAATATTACTAATAATAATATTACTAATAATAATATTAATACTAACATTAATTATATTAATAACATTATATTAATAATAATAATAATAATAATAATAATAATACACAAAGTCCTGAACTCAAGTCTGTCTTGAGTTCTGAACTCATGACGAGTTCCAGTAGGAACAAGAGGGCCGAGTCGGTAGAGACTGTGATTTATCTGTAATAACCAGCGAGATTTTGGTGAATGGACCGCTGTACCCCGGGATAGTCCAGTTGAGTTACGAGACCGAACTGATATCCGTCAGTTTAGGCTTGTTATAGTTAAAGCCTGTGTGGAAGCCAACCATTGCGTTGCAGGAGACCCCTGCTAGTGTGTTGCAGGAGACCCCCTGCTAGTGTGTTGCTGGAGACCCCTGTCAGCGTGTTGCTGGAGACCCCTGCCAGTGTGTTGCTGGAGACCCCTGCCAGTGTGTTGCTGGAGACCCCTACCACCGTGTTGCCGGAGACCCCTGCCAGTGTGTTGCTGGAGACCCCTGCCAGCGTGTTGCTGGAGACCCCTGCCAGTGTGTTGCTCGAGACCCCTACCAGCGTGTTGCTGGAGACCCCTACCACCGTGTTGCTGGAGACCCCTGCCAGTGTGTTGCTGGAGACCCCTGCCAGTGTGTTGCTGGAGACCCCTGCCAGTGTGTTGCTGGAGACCCCTACCACCGTGTTGCCGGAGACCCCTGCCAGTGTGTTGCTGGAGACCCCTGCCAGTGTGTTGCTGGAGACCCCTGTCAGCGTGTTGCTCGAGACCCCTACCAGCGTGTTGCTGGAGACCCCTGCCAGTGTGTTGCCGGAGACCCCTGCCAGTGTTTTGCTGGAGACCCCTGCCAGTGTGTTGCTGGAGACCCCTGCCAGTGTGTTGCTGGAGACCCCTGTCAGCGTGTTGCTCGAGACCCCTACCAGCGTGTTGCTGGAGACCCCTGCCAGTGTGTTGCTGGAGACCCCTGTCAGCGTGTTGCTCGAGACCCCTACCAGCGTGTTGCTGGAGACCCCTGCCAGTGTGTTGCCGGAGACCCCTGCCAGTGTTTTGCTGGAGACCCCTGCCAGCGTGTTGCTGGAGACCCCTGCCAGCGTGTTGCTGGTAGGGGTCTGTGACGATTCTGTAGAGGACTGGCACAGGATTTACTGAGAAAAGTGGACTCCCTGGCATGAGTTCCGTAGAAGAAAGGCTCAGAGAAGTATCTTGAGTGTTGCACGACAGAAGATAGGTGTGGATTCGCCAGGATAGAAGATTGCAGAAGTTCTTTTTGTAGTGCTTTGTGTTTAAATGACGCCTGCAGTGTTATGTACATTTGTAATAAGTGTATATAGTTAAAAAGTAGACGTGGTGATGGTTTTGTTTAGTGTTGTTTACCCCTATTCCCATTGAATTGACTATTACTGACAGTTCTTAATAACTTACCTATGATTCGGGGTTAAATCTGATAAGAAGAGGCACAAAAGACCCATAGAAAGTTTGAATTAAAAGAACCCGGTTACTAGCTATGTGAGGCTGCAACATAACTAACAATTAAAAAAATGATTATTTTTTATTATTCTCAACAGTCAATGATAAAATTAGTAGAAGCTTTGAGGAGGATTCGAATATTCCTCGAGGAGGATTTGAGGAGGATTCGGGAGTAGCTCTGGCTACTACCGCTACCATGTCATGGTGCAGGGGTCTAAGACGTATGCTTTTGAGTACCCAGAGCATAGGTTCAATTCCTCCTCGTGGCTCTTACTGATTGAACACCACGTTAATGTGATAATAATAATAATAATAATAATGATAATAATAATAATAATAATAATTATTATTATTATTATTATTATTATTATTATTATTATTATTATTATTATTATTATTATTAAAGTCACTGGTTAAAGATAATTTCGATGATAGACCTTGAGTTTAACATTTTACCAAAATTTACCTGAGGGCCTCTATATCTCTCTAGTGGCCCTCATTCAGACCACTCACACTAGTGGTCTGTGTTCATCTGCTGTCGTTGTATATTCTACAGGCTGCTGAAGTGCGCTCTGTTGACATTTGAACAGACCTATAAGCGTAAGCAAAGTGCGCGTGAGGCTGTAAGTTTTTATAAGGGAATGGATAGTTTCAAGTGTTGTTGCTTTGAGGAGTGCTGGGTTTTCTTTACTCATTTTGCTAACGAGGAGTGTAGCACACATGTAGTTTAGGGTTCAAATATAATGGAATATCATTATTTTTACATTGTATGTGATGTACAGCTAGTACATCACATACAATGGAAGTATTCAGTTTGATGAGATTGGCAACACTTCTACTCCACCAGTTTGCAAACACATGGCCTTCTGGTGCGTTGGCAACACTTTCCCACCTAAAACCATCACCAGTCAGTTTATCTTTAAGTAGTACAGGTGATATTGGATCTCTCATGACCTTAACCAGGAAGTTGTACCCAAAACACATCAGATTTGACCTTATACTGCAAATGGTATCGTGGAAGTACCAGAAAATTGGTGTACATTGATGGAGAGAAGATGGGACAGTCTTTAAGCTTTCGCTTTACCTGTATCCTTCATTATCCTTCAGGGAATCTGCTTTGATGTTCGACCCTGAAGCGTCCTCGGCCTATTCTAAGCAGTACGTAACGGTGATAATCGCACACGAGCTGGCCCACCAGTGGTTCGGCAACCTGGTCACCCCTGACTGGTGGACCGACCTCTGGCTCAATGAAGGGTTCGCCTCATTCATGGAAAATATTGGCACCAATCACGTGAGTTGAGGCGGGATTAAACCCATTCCTAATGAAAGTCAGAACCTAGATGAAGATTATTGGGATTGGTCAGATTTTAGGAGATTTACCAATTACTGAGAAATTATCAGAACCTCGCAGTTCATGAATGCAGGATTTGTTACTGTATCAGTTCATTGAGATTTATTTTGATTTGTGTAGGAGAGTTAAGTAGGCATCCATCCAGTATTTGACTTAACAAAAATTATGATATCATTATTATTTTTATTATGATGTGCAAGTGTGCGTGGTCACCAGATCGATCCCACCTGGAGGATGTGGGAGCAGTTCGTGACGGATTATTTGCAAATGGTGTTGGAGCTGGACAGCCTGGAGTCCTCCCACCCCATCAGCGTCCCCGTTGGCAGACCCGAAGAAATTGACCAGATTTTTGACGACATCTCCTATTCCAAAGGTACATGTGCAAAGTGAAATGTTTCAGTTACTCTTTATAACTAAAACAAACATAATTTCTCAATTATTATATACCGTTATTCTGTAATGAATTTGTAAGCTTTACTTGTAAGCATTATCGACATTGTGTTTAAGTGATATAAACATCCTATGTTTAAGTAATAGATATCGACGGTCCATGTTTAAGTGATATACACATTCCATATTTAAGTGCTTGACATCCCCATGTTAAAGTGATATAGACATTCCATGTTTAAGTTATAAAGAATGCAATTTTTGACTGATATAGAAATCTCATAAGAAAACGAGCTAGATATCTCATATTAATTGATACAGACATTCCATGTTCAAGTAATGTAAACGTCAAATGTTTAAATTACATACGCATCCCATGATAAAGATACATATATACATATACATCTCTTCGTGCATCAGAATCACTTTAAACAAATGTTGTTGGACTATAATATAATATGGCAACAGTTGCAACTTTTTAGGGAGCTGACTGATACTTTTTCAGTCATAAGTAAACATTAAGAGATTAATTAATCCAGGTGGTAATAATTACCTCTCACACAGGTTCATCTGTCATTCGCATGATGAACGACTTCCTCACTGAGACCACATTCAGAAAGGGCATCACCAACTACCTCAATGGCCAGTAGGTTGTTGTTGTTGATGCATTTGTTGTTGTTGTTGATGTTGTTGTTACTGTTGCTGTTGTTGCTCCTGTAGTTGTTACTGCTGTTGTTACTGTTGTTATTGCTGTTGTTATTGTTGCTGTTATTCCTGTTGTTGTTGTTGTTGTGGCTGTTGTTGCTGCTGCTTCTCCTGAGAGAAACACTGGCCTCGAGCAGTGTGTATTACAAACGACCTATCTTACGATGAAGACTTTCTTAAGATCCGTCTACGCTCTAAGAAGTCCGTGAACAACTGAATTATCACCTGCAATATAAACAAATATTATAACCCAAGACACTGTGTAAACCCAGGACACAGTGTATAACCCAGGACACAGTGTATAACCCAGGACACAGTGTATAACCCAGGACACAGTGTATAACCCAGGACACAGTGTATAACCCAGGACACAGTGTATAACCCAGGACACAGTGTATAACCCAGGACACAGTGTATAACCCAGGACACAGTGTATAACCCAGGACACAGTGTATAACCCAGGACACAGTGTATAACCCAGGACACAGTGTATAACCCAGGACACAGTGTATAACCCAGGACACAGTGTATAACCCAGGACACAGTGTATAACCCAGGACACAGTGTATAACCCAGGACACAGTGTATAACCCAGGACACAGTGTATAACCCAGGACACAGTGTATAACCCAGGACAGAGTGTATAACCCAGGACACAGTGTATAACCCAGGACACAGTGTATAACCCAGGACACAGTGTATAACCCAGGACACAGTGTATAACCCAGGACAGAGTGTATAACCCAGGACACAGTGTATAACCCAGTGTATAACCCAGGACACAGTGTATAACCCAGGACACAGTGTATAACCCAGGACACAGTGTATAACCCAGGACACAGTGTATAACCCAGGCACAGTGTATAACCCAGGACACAGTGTATAACCCAGGACACAGTGTATAACCCAGGACACAGTGTATAACCCAGGACACAGTGTATAACCCAGGACACAGTGTATAACCCAGGACACAGTGTATAACCCAGGACACAGTGTATAACCCAGGACAGAGTGTATAACCCAGGACACAGTGTATAACCCAGGACACAGTGTATAACCCAGGACACAGTGTATAACACAGGAGACAATGTATAATACAGGACACTGTGAATAACCCATGACACAGTGTATAATCCAGGACATTGTGTATAACCCAGGACACAGTGTATAACCCAGGACACTGTGTATAACCCAGGACACTGTGTATAAAGTGCATAACCCAGGACACAGAATATAACCCAGGACACAGTGTATAACCCAGGACATAGTGTATACCCCAGGACACAGTGTATAACCCAGGACACAGTGTATATTCCAGGACACAGTGTATAGCCCCAGGACACAATGTATAACCCAGGACACAGTGTATAACATTGGACACAGTGTTTAATCCAGAACACAGTGTATAACCCAGGACACAGTGTATAACCCTAGACACAGTGTATAACCCAGGATACAGTGCATAACCCAGGACACAGTGTATAACCCAGGACACAGTATATAACCCTAGACAAAGTGTATAACCCAGGACACAGTATATAACCCTATACACAGTGTATAATCCATGACACAGTGAATAACCTTGGACACAGTGTATAATCCAAGACACAGTGTATAGCCCAGGGCACAGTGTATAACCCAGGAAACTGTTTATAACCAGAGACACAGTGTATAACCCAAGACATAGTGTATAACCCAGGACACTGTATATAACCCAGGACACAGTATATAACCCAGGACACTGTGTATAACCCAGGACACTGTGTATAACCCAGGACACAGAGTATAACCCAGGACACTGTGTATAACCCAGGACACTGTGTATAACCCAGGACACTGTGTATAACCCAAGACACAGTGTATAACCCAAGACACAGTGTATAACCCAGGACACAGTGTACAACCCAGGACACAGTGTATAACCCAGGACACAAGTGTATAACCCAGGACACAGTGTATAACCCAGGACACAGCATATAACCCAGGACATAGTGTATAACCCAGGACACTGTGTATAACCCAGGAGACTGTGTATAACCCAGGACACTGTGTATAACCCAGGACACAGTGTATAACCACGACACTGTGTATAACCCAGGACACAGTGTATAACCCAGGACACAGTGTATAACCCAAGACACAGTGTATAACCCACGACACAGTGTATAACCCAGGACACGGCATATAACCCAGGACACTGTGTATAACCCAGGACACAGCATATAACCCAAGACACTGTGTATAACCCAGGACACTGTGTATAACCCAGGACACTGTGTATAACCCAGGACACTGTGTATAACCCAGGACACTGTGTATAACCCAAGACACAGTGTATAACCCAAGACACAGTGTATAACCCAGGACACAGTGTATAACCCAGGACACAGTGTATAACCCAGGACACAAGTGTATAACCCAGGACACAGTGTATAACCCAGGACACAGCATATAACCCAGGACATAGTGTATAACCCAGGACACTGTGTATAACCCAGGAGACTGTGTATAACCCAGGACACTGTGTATAACCCAGGACACAGTGTATAACCACGACACTGTGTATAACCCAGGACACAGTGTATAACCCAGGACACAGTGTATAACCCAAGACACAGTGTATAACCCACGACACAGTGTATAACCCAGGACACGGCATATAACCCAGGACACTGTGTATAACCCAGGACACAGCATATAACCCAAGACACTGTGTATAACCCAGGACACTGTGTATAACCCAGGACACTGTGTATAACCCAGGACACTGTGTATAACCCAAGACCCAGTGTATAACCCAAGACACAGTGAATAACCAAAGACACAGTGTATAACCCAGGACACAAGTGTATAACCCAGGACACAGTGTATAACCCTAGACACAGCATATAACCCAGGACACGGTGTATAACCCCGGTCACAGTGTATAATCAATGGCACAGTGTATAACCCAGGACACAGTGTATAACCCAGGACACAGTGTATAGCCCAGGACACAGCATATAACCCAAGACACAGTGAATAACCCAGGACACAAGTGTATAACCTAAGACACATTGTAAAACCCAGGAGACAGTGTATAACACAGGGCACAGTGTATAACCCTGGTCACAGTGTATAACCCTGGTCACAGTGTATAACCCAGGACACAGTGTATAACCCAGAACACAGCGTATAACCCAGGACACAGCATATAACCCAGGACACAGCGTATAACCCTGGACACATTATATAACCCAGGACACAGTGTATTACCCAAGAATCAGTGTATAACCCAGGACACAGTGTATAACCCTGGACACAGTGTTTAACCCAGGACACAGGATATAACCCAGGACACAGTTTATAACCCAGGACACTGTGTATAACCCAGGACACAATGTATAACCCTAGACTCAGAGTATAACCCAGGACACAGCATATAACCCAGGACACAGTGTATAACCCAGGAATCAGTGTATAACCCAGGAAACTGTGTATAACCAGAACACAATGTATAACCCAGGACACAGTGGGTAATACAACTGCCCCTAGGGCAATTCGAGTTTACCGAGTTACTGAACTCGGTAATCTATCTATCTATCTGTCACTTATGTGTTCACCTGTCTATGTCCTCCCCGCTCCCCTTCCATTGATCCCCCCTACTTCCTCCTTCTGCTCCACCCCCACCCCCGACACCCTCATCCTGTCCCCCTTCCCCCTATTCCCTTCCCCCGCCACCGCATTAGTCTTTCGTACTTCTTCATAATAATATAATAGTAAGGAGAAATGAAACTATACATTTAGGAAAATAATTTAACGAAAACGTCTTCGGTCATCTCAACCAATATTTCACATTAAAATTAAAATCTAAATTAGACCTTCCCTGACCAACCTATGTCCATCTTGTACTCCAGATATTTTCCTCTACAACTTTTGTCTGAAGCCTCCAACTTTTTACAGAGAGACAGACATTCTTACTTTTAATATAGATATAACTGTTATATCATGATTAACAGTAAGTAAGTAGCTACTGGTTTCACAAGCTACTGGTATAGCATTATCAACCAGTACGTCAGTAACTACTGGTGTCAGTAACTACTGATATGTCATTATCAACCGGTAAGTCAGTAGCTACTGGTGTCAATAGCTACTGGAATATCATTACCAGCCTGTAAGTGAATAGCTTCTGGTGTCAATAGCTTCTGGTATATTATTACCAACCGGTATGTCAGTAGCTACTAATATGGTTTATTCTGGGTTGTAAGCGGGCATAGCAACAAAGTACAAGGACGTGGAGAAACTTTAGCAATAACAGAACACTTGAGAGCAGAAAAAGATACCAGAGGGTTTGTGAGATTATATCTATTGGGAAATGACACTAAGACAAGTGACCTCAGTCAGAAAGGACTGCACTAACAGCACATTAAATGCTAAGTGTGCAGATTATTACTTTAAGGCTGCAATACATGGCGATGAGCCGCCGCCAGGGTCTAAATTCTAGGCGCACTATATCACTGGGTAGTGGATATCCTCAGAACAGCTTATGGCAATATAAGGGTAGCTCAATGGGATCTTACATCAAGTTTAATATTGGTGTGTGTGGCGAGGAAACTGGTTCGAGTCCAGAAGTATCCATAACAGCATATAAACAGGATCAAGTATGTGGCAGAGTCCAATACTGGTGACAAGGTTATTAGAAGGTGTTGATGGAAAGACATTTCTCGTTTGGTAACAATTAACATTTATTCACAAAATCGTAATAATAACAATACATGGAACAATAGGTTAACGTTACGTTAAGTTCGATGTAACAATATGCAAAACTAATCACTCGGCCAGTATAATCGAACTTCCGGTTCTGACCGCTCGCGGCTGAATCAAGCTGAACTAATCTGAACAGCAGGTGCTCACTCGGACACAAGTTAGCAGTTCACCAACTGCGGTAAAAAATTGATAATT